ACATCTCAAACTGTTACATATTGTACCCAAAGGGTCCCCCCCCCTAATTCACTTTTTGGCAGGTGCCCCACATTTGATTCCCAGTAAAATACAACAGAACAATTTTTAATGTGTATTTTTAAAGCATTCAAAGAAATGGCAACAAGCACAATATCATGGGGAGCCAGACTTGAGTATTCAAAAATGACAAACACACACATGAAATGAATGGACTTGGGAGCTTGTGTCTGCCTACAGAGTTGTACTTGATCATAGATAAAATGCAAGCTCCCAAGACTTGAATGCCTGTAGATGTGTGAGTGGCTGCCACAGCGGCATTTAGCGTTCGGAAACCTTAAACTGCAGTTTGACAGAGGGCAGCTAACTGCCAAGTATGAATTTGCTCATGCACCTAATGGGGCATTTGAATGCCACCTGCGCCCACCTCACTCCTGCCAAAGTAATAATTCCAGACATATGATATAAACTATAATGCTTCCATCCCCAGTTCTGTTTACTGTGTTTCACAGAATTCAAGTGGCTGCTATAGGGATATCTTTATCCTGGCAGCATCCTACTTTCCCATTGAATCTGACAAGTTAGCATCTCTATACTCAAGACTCAAACACTACAATTCTCTTAGGTGTTATCTGGGAGATGGCCCAATCTGAAACAGCTACTGACCAACTGCAGAGGTGCTATTTAAGAGGGCCAAAAGATATGGAGCTAGAAAAAACGGCCTCTCCTTTTTTGCAAGTTAGGCACAATCCTACGCATGTTGACTCAGTACGCAAATCCTACTGTGTACTGTGAGGCTTGTTCCTACATAAGTGTGACTAGAATCAAATCTTGAATCCCGAATATATCTCAAAGCAGGCATTTCACCCATGTGAAATGATCCCCCTACTGATTCCAAAATTGGCATCTCCGATCAGCAGTACTTGACCAAGCAACAGTTAGGGAATAAACCCCAAATCTAGATCTGGCCCTCCATCTACTTTGGCACTCCTGGTCCTAATAATGTCACACCGTCAACAGCTCATTCACCTGCATGCTTTCAGCAGATTACATCGGCCAAAAATGTATGCATCTTCCACAATAAACAGCTGCCTCCTACTTGTTCCACTGTATTCCTGTTTTGTATTCTAGCTGCTCATACCTCAGGCAGGCAATGCGTCATACTTATTTACTCATGTCTGCACTCCAGTTATTTGCCATTGTCCATTCTCACATTGGGAAGATAGAAACATCCACCCTGTGGAACCCAAACCAATCACTACTATGTAGAGTTTCGTATGGAAAACTAGTCGGCAGGTACTAAATCACACCAGTCCTTGCGTGCACATTCATGCACCTTTTCTTTGGATCTGGATGATGGTTAGGCTACAGGTTACAACAGCAGCTAGGGCTGAAGGCCCAGCCAGCATTAATTCTGCTGCAATGGTGCTGTCAGTACAAGACTTCCAGGCAGAAGTCCATGGCTCCCCTCTGCAGAAAGAGCAGGAAGCCCTCCCCTCCCAATATAGTACAGCTGGCTTGCCACAATCTGGAGTGAAGTAATACACCTAAGAGCACTTCCCTGCAACACACACAAATAGCACCAGAGTCCAGAGTCTAAAATTATCTACATTGCACCACTGCTCTGTTTCCTGCAGTTTAAATCCCCTATGAATCAGGCACACACAAAACACCTTTTAACCCTTTCCTGCTAAGCACAAACAACAAATTATTCCCTGATTCTGCCTGGGTCCTTGTATACAAGAGTAAGCAGCCAAAATGCATAAAAGGAAACCTCTGCCAACAGTGTTGCTACTCTTGGGAAGACAGGCTTAAGAATCCTTTGCCTGTAGGCCAAAGTTTATGTTACATTAAAAGCACTTCCAACGTTATTTTCAGAGCAATAAGGAAAACGCATTTTCCATATGTGCCATGTCAGGTTGGATTTACACCATCTTTGGAACTGGTACAAATGTATAATGGATGTGAAGTGTCAATTATTTTTCTGCCGTGATTTTGGTTTGTTACTTTTTATGGAAAGGGGATCTTCGTCAACAAGATGTGTTCCACTTTACCAGTTGTGCACTAAAGACACATGCCAGCTGGATGAGAGCACTGAAAAGCGGTTGTTTCTGCATGACAACCAATTAGATCCAATGCCCATTCAACTGTGTCAAGTTCCATCCCATCCTTTTTCAACACAGCGGTCTCAGCCCAGCAAAACTCCTCATATGACAGCAAGAGGTTATGTTTATTTATTTCATAAAATTTATACACTGGTTGATTGTTTGTTGGGGGAGGACGACTCAAAGCGGATTTTAAATACAGTGGTACTTTGGTTGTTGAACACCTTGGTTGTCAAAAAAATCGGCTCCCGAACGCCGCAAACCCAGAAGTGAGTGTTCTGGTTTGCGAATGTCCTTTGAAAGCCGAACAGCCAACGTGGTTTACACGGCTTCTGATTGGCTGCAGGAAGCTCCTGCAGCCAATCAGAAGCCTTGGTTTTTGAACCGTTCCAGGAGTCAAACGAACTCTCAGAACAGATTAAATTCGAGAACCAAGGAACCACTGTCCGTGTACATGGGGTAGGGGGTTCCATCCATTATCATTAGTTCTTTTCACACCAATTTGCCACAAACAAGTATTCAGAAGAATTTGACATTTCACTTGGCACTAGTGGAGATAGGAGATGACAACTTGTGTTTTCAATTCTGAGGGGCTTTAGAAACCTATGGGGGGGGCGGAATTGAAAGGGGCACAGGAAGTGTGCACAGATTCTACTGATATAAATGAGTTCGTTTACACCAGCCTTCCTCAGTCAGGTGCACTCCAGGTGTTTTGGACAGCTTTCATCAGCATGGCCAATAGCGAGTGATAATGGGAGTTGTAGTCCTGCATCTAAAAGGCACCAGGTTAGGAAAAGCTGGTCTACCTACCAGACATGATTCTTTGATCCCTTGTATAGGAAAGGGAAATCTGGCTCAGGAAATAAGTACAATATTTTGTGTTAATTAGCTGTGGAGGGTGAATGGTAGTGAATAAGCAAAACAAATAAAATACTACAGAAATGCATTTGGTAGGGTTGCCATTCAAACAGTGAAAATCTGGACAGAAAAGTTGTTGCAGTATTCCGGATATGTCTGGGAAATTCCAGATGTATGGTAACCCTACATTTGGATTGTGATGGTCTTCCTCACCAAAGAGGTTTTCAAAGATTAAGTTCAAAATAAACATTTTATGTAATTCAGAAGACACATGCCAGTATTACATACTGTATTTTTTTAACCTAAAAGGAGCTTATAGAAAGTAATTTGTCTGTCCTTTTTTCCCTCACTCCCTTTAATTAGCAATATAATTAATTTGAATAGTTCATTCTCAAGGAGGATGTACTGAATTGTGAGCAAACCTAAGTGAATGTTTACTAGATAACATGCATTAAACAAGCCATGAACAATAGCTTCATGAACAATAGCACAAAAACATTATGGAATTCTGCAGCGTGGCATAATGCAGCTGTCCAAAAATAAAAATAAAAGACTCAAAATTACTTGAAATTTGGAGATGTCACAATTTAGTAGCCACAAAATAGTGAGGGATGTTGTTTTGTTTGTTACTATGTTATTTATTTCTGTGTTTTTATATTGTAAACCACCTGTGATTCTCAGATGAAGGGCAGTACAGTGGTGCCTCAGGTTAAGTACTTAATTCGTTCCGGAGGTCTGTTCTTAACCTGAAACTGTTCTTAACCTGAACCACCACTTTAGCTAATGGGGCCTCCTGCTGCCGCCGTGCCGCCAGAGCACGATTTCTGTTCTCATCCTGAAGCAAAGTTCTTAACCCGAGGTACTATTTCTGGGTTAGCAGAGTATGTAACCTGAAGCTTATGTAACCTGAAGCGTATGTAACCTGAGGTACCACTGTACAGAAATTTAATTGTTAATACTAATAATAAAGTAAGGTTTTCAGTGGCAATCAGGCAAATGGGTACCACTATGGGCACAATTTAAATATGCGCCATGATGATGATGAACATAATTTTCTTATTTATACCCTGCCCATCTGGCTGGGTTGCCCCATCCACACTGGGTGACTTCCAACACATATAAAAACATAATGGTAGCAATATTCAGGTATTATATCAGGGTATCTAACCTTTCGTGGCCAGTGGGCACATTTGGAACTTTGATGGCTGCCATGGGAGTGTAGCATAACACAAAATGGTTGCCATGGGAATGTGGGGCAATACAAAATGGCTTCCACACCTCTTCTTTGTTCGGAACAGAAGACGGTGTGTCCACTGAATATGCTGGCATCCACTGAAATGTGGGCTTATTTAAGAGAGTGTTTTATGTATGAAAGGCTGAGCCAGTGCAAACAGGAACTGCGCAGGAAGAGCAAAGAATCTTTAACACAATGTAGATTTTTGAGGGGATACGTAATTAGACATTTCTCAGGCACCGCAGGAGATACCAGCAGGCACCCTGGCACCATGCTGGCGGACCCTACATTAAGTTCTCTGTGCTGAAATAAAGCTGCATGGGGGAAAGGGGGGGGGGGTGCGCGCCACTGCCAATGTCCTCCTCCCCACCAGCTTCACTTCCCGTTGTGTAAAAGAGGCATCTGAGAGCATTCAGCATTTCCAATAGAAGCCTCTGTGCTGATGCATTCAACTGAATGCAGTTTGAAGACTCTTTCAGAGTCAAAGGTGAAGCCACCAGTTACAGGGAACCCCCATGCCACCCTCAGTGAGTTTGATTTAACACAGATAACCATGCATAAATATGGCTGTAGAGAATATACTGTATTCAATACAGGAACCATTGTCTACAGTGTTTCCCAACCTTGTGCCTCCAGCTGTTTTTGGCCTACAATTCCCATCATCCCTTGCCACTGGTCTTGCTAGTCAGGGATGATGGGAGTTGTAGGCCAAAAACATCTGGAGGCACAAGGTTGGGAAACACTGGTCTATCAGATGGGTCAAGCTGAAAGGCTTAGAATGATGCAGTTATAATGTAGCACCAAACCTGAGCATGAAGAAGGGTGAGAAATTAGTCTTGAATGTAGCAGCAGGGGTCCATCTGTTCAATTTTTGACGTATTATTTATCATACTAAAGTAGGTCATTTTTAATCGTGCTTCTCCATTCCTTCTAGCTCACAGGAATATACATCATGCCTTCTCCTTGCTAAGAAAAAGAAGAAAAATCAATAAATGCTAAATAAAATTTAAATCAGGATGTTCCAGTTTGACACACACAAGGTCTAAGAGTGCTGGTATATTGTCAGTACGAAAGCATTCCTGATAGGCCTGGGCATACAACTCTAAGTGCAACTCTAAGGAGCTCAAGCTGGGATTTTCTGCTTTAGCCATGACCCTGTTGCCCTTTGCTTCTGGCTGAATTTAAAAGCAAACCTACCAGATTTGCACTTTCAACTAACCTGTACAAAAAGACATATACTAGGATAAGTGTGCATAAAAATGCATATATCAGTGATAAAACATACACAGGTGTCTTATATTATGGGAAATTGTTTTGCAAAACATGTTTATTAGGCAAAATTTCCTAGAAAAATGCCTGTATTGGGAAAAATTTGCACTAAATTGGTGATGAATTTCCATGAGCACTTAAAGCAATCTGATGCATCCTATCGCCCCAGGGATGCCCTTTCAGGGGCCACGGGATTGCAATCTAAACGGTTTGTGTTTTGTTTTCTGGTTTATGTAGCCCTGACGAAAATAACCTATGTATTTTATTTTATACACAATGAGCTTTGGAATGATTCCTTCTTGTTGAAAATTGTTTAAACAACATCATCTCTGGCAACACTTGCTGCAGATGTATGCAATGACAACAGCTGAAGATCTGAGAAAACCACATTGTATATTCTAAAACAGGGGTCAGCAAACTTTTTCAGCAGGGGGCCAGTCCACTGTCCCTCAGACCTTGTGGGGGGCCGGACTATATTTTTTTTTTGGGGGGGGGGGGAATGAACGAATTCCCATGCCCCACAAATAACCCAGAGACGCATTTTAAATAAAAGGACACATTCTACTCATATAAAAACATGCTGATTCCTGGACCATCTGCAGGCCGGATTTAGAAGGCGATTGGGCCAGATCTGGCCCGTGGACCTTAGTTTGCCTACCCATGTTCTAAAACGTATCTGATCAATACAAACCAAAACACTACACATGCAGAGGTTTCCTGTTTTGCTCATCTGAAGGCAAAAGCTCCTTCAACTGCATGTCTGAGCTCATGATGGAGAATGGTGAAGCTATTGTCTTGATTCAACAAGTGAAACACATGTGTTTACCAGAACTGGAAAGACCTGAGCGAGGAGGCAGAAGCCCCACTGAAATCACCTTCAAAACCACATGTGGATGCACGAGTGGACTGAATCCAGTTCTTTTCCTGAACTGATTATTGATGCTCTTCAAAACCGTTTGATAAGGCCTCATGTTTGCACTCTCATTTTCACCTTTTAGACCCTTGTTCCCACGCCCTGAGAGACACATCCGCAGCACCTGTTTGCACATGATCTTCCCTCTGCTGTATGGGAGCCACAGTTCATTGCTTATTTACATACACCCCACAGAGATGCTTTCATCAAACCCAAAACACACACACACAACCATGCCTGCTGTTGTGTATCTCCACTTCCACATGCAAAATGGGTGCTATCAGAAACAGGTCTTAAATTCCAAGTCCCTGAGTGGGTCAGCTGCAGTCAAATGCTGGGTTTACATCCAGACGCAGCGGATGTTGCACAGTTCCCTTTTGCTTCTCTTGCCCAAGATGCTCTTGGCAGAAAGATGGGCCTCAGGTGGGCAACTGGGATGAGCACTGATTAGCTGGAAGAGGTAAAGAGATTTATACATCCAATATAACGAAACCTGTATGATCCTGTATAACTTGCTCGTTGCTAATCTCCTTCCAACTGTGCTTTGGCACGGAACACCAAGCCTACTCCAGCCCAATATGCAGCTCTGTATATTTCTCTGGTAATTAACCTTGACAATTTGAAGTGTACAGCTTCAGCCTGGGTATCATGCTCGTCCCTACCCTCTGCTGCTAAAATAAAATTATATCTTTGCTCATCCATTCATTTTACATGTAGAAAGACAGATGGTTGCTCTGGATTGTTCTGTGCTGCAACAGATGCCGTAATTGAGGGCTGGGAAACTCTGCCAAATTAATTAGATACCCTTACCAATTTGGATGGAAAGGACAGTGCATTACCATTCCGCACTGTAGAGCTTCTGACACATTGGGGTTATCTTTGTTGAATTTGCAGGTTTCCTTGGGAACTCTTCCCATTGTTCAAGCTGGGACTAGAACCGCTTGCATCACCGAGGGATTTGCCAGGTGCTGAATGGTGAAGACGCAAGAGCAGCAAAACGAAGGAGAAGGGAGAATTGGAGGACAAAAGCAGACGTGTATCCAAGTGTTTATAGGAAAGTCAGTATATCCTCACTCCCATTCATCCATTAAAAAATCAGGTAAGGAAATGGACCATTGTTATTCTAATGAGCAAAATGCCCTTCTCAGTATGATGGACAGGGAGGATGTGTTACATGGGTATTACATGGACCCCTAAGTGTGCACACATGTACAGAGGGTCCCTCTGCATGCCTTAAAAAGGAAGCAACGCCCAAAGGTGGCTTCAATTCAGATCCTGTTCACTGCACTGTGCTATGCAAAAAAATTAATAAACTCAGTCAAAGTGGCCTAATGAGCAAGACCGTCATAGAAGAGAGAGAAAGCTGACTTAGAATGGAGCATCAAATTTTATTTTACCCTCAAACCAAGGGGAGAAGAGGAAACAATAAAGAAAAAAACATGGTCTTCTTGAATAAAAAGAGTCCTGTTGGATCAGATCAATGGCCCAACTAGTCCAGCAGCCTCTTCTTGCAGTGGCCAAGCAAACTGCCTCCAACAATGGAAGGACAACATAGTCGTTTTGGTTTGTAGCCATACATCTATAGACAATTGTGGGGATGTACTCTTAATGGCCTGCCTAGGGCTGGCAGAATAGAAAAGTTATCAGCAGGTGTTTAAAAGGTGGCACAGAAGGAGCCAATGAGTATCTATTGGCAGAGTCTTCCACAGCTGATAACATGAAAAGCTTGGTTTATCACTGTTGTCGGTTGACAACACCAATTCAGGGAACCATCAGAAAAAGTGCCGATAATTCATGAAACGAAACAACTTTTTTCAAACAAAGACGCAATTCATGTGAGATTGAGAAAGCATTACAACTTGAACCTGGCTTTAAGCATTGCTGAGTTCAAGCTGCATCAATTCAGAATATGACTCCATTCCACTTTCTAAGAAACAAATACCCCTCTCTTATTATCAGTTATTACTCTCGTACGGGACTGCTTTGACACACAGGAGCTGGCAGAAGGGAAATGACAGCAGTTTGAAGGATAGCTATTGCACTAATGGCAAGACTGGAGGGTTCTCAGTACTGGCATACTTGAACAAGAACTAGTATTAAGGGACAAACTTCATCTATTTCAGGATGTGTGTGATTCTTCTTAAAGGCAGCCATGTGGTGAAGGGCCATTTGGATCAGGGCAGGCAATTTACCAGGGCAAAACTTCTCCCTCCTGGTGCCGCTGTGAGCTGCATGCTTTCATAATACATGCTATGGCTCTGATCTCAAACACCATGCTTCAAAAAGGTGCGTTTGCTTTTAGGGAAAGGAGGAGACATCGGGAGATCCAGGCATGGAGCTTAGTAGTTTGAGCCAAAGACAGTTGTACACAGGACCATAATGACATGAAGTAGGATACCCAGAATTTTAAGGGAAGGATCCAGGTTTGATGCCCTATGACAAACATTGGAGAGCTACTGCTAGCCACTGTAAGGAACAGTGGGCCAACTCTGGATGGAGAAGTTTCCTATGCTTAGGCCGTGGCAGGTCTACTTATTACCAGTGCCACTTAACGCAAAACAATACGTGGAAATGTTATGTGTGAAGACTTCCAGATGGGTCCCACCAGTTGTTTTGACTGCTTTCATACCTCTAGCAGCTACTACTAGGAGTGCCTGGTGGAGAATGTCTACATGAAGTGGGTCCAATTTGCTGCATATAAAACCTTCATGGGAACCAGTCACCATACAGAGGTTGTTTCAAGTCGTGCTCAAGAGTCAGAGAACGGTGGCTGCTGATGTTTATAGGCACAATATGTGCTTCCCCCAAAGCTTTCTGTTTTCCACAGACTAATGTCTTATTGGTCCAAAATGCCTTTAACTATTAGCATCAGATGCATGCTTCTACAACAGAGTATAGTGTCATTTTAATAAATCTCCTCACATATGAAAGTACATTTTAGGCAAGTTTGGGTCATTTTGTCTCAAGTTCTTTGCAGGACTTTTTTCCCCCTCATAGAAAGGGACTAGAAAGGGTGCAAGAGAAACTTAATAGCAAGAGACAGCCCTGTCACAAAAATTAGTCACTCTGCAAGGGTGGTTTTCTCCCCATTCTGTCGCCATGCCAGATAGATATAGAAAACAGCATGTAAGAAGAATTCGGTCAAACTTTTGACTGTTGTAACTTTAGGTTAGCTTTTTTTTCTAATAAGTTTCATACGGGTTTTTGAAACTACCCTATCAAATTTGCGGTGTTTCTTAGAATGGGGAGAAAGAACATAAATGATTGTGTCTTGTAGGAATGTAGGACTGCTCAAGTCGTGGAAAGCATGCCATGGAGAAAGCAACGGAAGGTTTTTGTGTGCACCTAGAAAGAGCCAAAGGTTGGTTCACCTCAAGATAGATTTCTGCCTCTGTTTTCTCGTGGTGTAGTCACCCTGATCATGGCCCAGCTGAGGGTGAACACCAGTAACTGACAAAGGTACATATAGTAATACAGTGGTACCTCGGGTTACATACGCTTCAGGTTACAGACTCCGCCAACCCAGAAATAGTACCTCAGGTTAAGAACTTTGCTTCAGGATGAGAACAGAAACCGTGCTCCAGCGGCGTGGCGGCAGCAGGAGGCCCAATTAGCTAAAGTGGTCTTCAGGTTAAGAACAGTTTCAGGTTAAGAACAGACCTCCAGAACGAATTAAGTTCTTAACCCGAGGTACCACTGTATAGCAGAGAAAAGTTTAAGATTGCTCTGTCAACTAAAAATTACCATTCTAATTTCATTGTTCTCTGGTCATGCCTCTGTGTCAGATTTTTACCAACATTCCATCATGTTGGGGGGTGGGGTGAGGGAGAGTGAGTGTTTTCTTGTTATTGAGCTTTATTCAAAGCTATACTTAAAAGCCTTTAATACAGACACAAGAGAGCTTGCTAATACACAATTCAACTGAAAGGGAACCAATTTAAAGGAATGAGCATGTGCATTGCTACTGCTTATTCCTCCTCCCCATCACTTATAAATGCTGATATATTTGTGCAGAGGTTTACACTGCCGTGTTTGCAGATCACTCAGCATGCCGGACTATAAATTCATTATGTACACCATTTGCCACAATGATTTTGCAGGGGCAAAAAATTGTTTGCATATGCTATTCAGGTCCAGGTTATTTCTTTGTGGTCCTGAGCTGTAGTTGCCCATATAAAAGTTGCCAGAGGTTCTGCTCTTGTCCAAACCCACTTCATTTTGCTCTAACATTGAAGATAAACTGTGTAAAACTGTAGATGAAGTTATGTGCTCTACAATGATCATAAAAGCATGAACATTTCTTTGATTGTAGGGTTGTTGGTCTCTACTACCATATGTTTACTGGTCTCATGAGGCAAAAAACAGACAACAGATTCACAATTAGGTGGAAACTTTTCCTTAAAATATTTAAAACTGGAGAAGAATAGTTATTACTAACTAAAACAATTACACTCATGAGAAGGGTTGCTACTTGAGGGTCAATTTCCAAATCTATAGTTCCATATGCTCCGCATATTCCATTTGAGATAGAACAGCACTTGGGGAAGTGTTAAATCAGCTGGATAAATTATTGCTGAATTTCACTTGAGTGTACATAGCTTCTGCTTCTCTTTTCTTTGCTTAATTCCTCAGCACTAAAGTGTATTTGTGCTGACATATTTTGCAAAATGAAAATGTAGGATACATTCTCCACAGCCAGGGCCGGATTTACGTATAAGCTAAAGTTTGCTTCCTTCCTTCCTCCCTTCCTCCCTCCCTCATAGCATACATGATGCTGCTTTCATCATCAGCTGGCTCCACAACCATCCACAATTGCTCTGCTTATGATCTGGCCTGGAATCTTATGCTGGAATAATCATATGCCACATGATCTATGATATCATACATTACAAATACACCAGAGTTTGCTATGCCCTTCAAGGAAACCACACCTGAGGTATGTGCTGCCACCCCTGAAACCTCTCACCACTCAGGGACTGCGGGTGTAGGAATGCTTCTTTGTGGGCAGTCTAGGTGTAGTCTAAAACAGCACCTAACAGAGCTCAATTGGCATGTCCTTTTCCACATTCCAGGTTTAGACTATAACGTAACGCAAATACTGCCAATGGCTACAACATCAGCCAACTTCACATCCTTGCTTTGTTTATCTTCTAGTATGATGAACACTTTTGGATAATGTAAAACCTTGTGCACTATTTTGTAACATTTTGGGTAGCAAATAATAATGGCATTGCTCTAATGTGAATTTTGGAATTTCTTTGGTGGTTGGTTACAGTCATATTAAAACAAACATAAATAATAAAACCAACGACTTGAAAATATTTTCCTGCATATCTCTAGGGCTTCCCCATCCTCTGCTTCCATCGACAGGGACCCATGTCTCCTCTTCCCTGGGCCTATTTGGTGTCCAATGCATCTGCACATGACAGCCACTCTGTAACATCCCTTGGGTGAGGTCAATATGAAGAATGAGCTTACCTATCGTTTGTAGTCCACCCCTTGGTTCTGATCTTCAGGGAATACTCAGGAGACTCTGGTACCTTTGCACAAACACAAGCTTTTGAGGAACCATGTGACACAGTGCCTCAGCTCTAAGGCCTGCACCAAACGAAAGAAAAAGAGAAACCTCTCAAAAACTAACAGTCCCTCTTAAAGCTCTAACACAACCACACAGTATATTTAAAGCACTATGGTACTACTTTAAACCATCATGGCTTCCTCCCAAGAATCCCGGGAGTTTGTGAAGAGTACTGAGAGTTTTTAAGGGACCCCTGTTCCCCCAGGCCAGCCCAAGAAACCTTGGCACCTGAGCCAAACCCCTATCCCCAGGCCGGCCATGCAACCTGCCATTTTGTACAGCACCATGCACTCACCAGTCCTCGGTCAGCATGGCTAATGGTCAGGGATGACATGACACTGAAAAGTCAGTGTGGTGTAATGGTTAGAGTGGCAGACTAGGGCCTGGGAGACCAGAATTCAAATCCCCACTCATTTTAATGTTTGATGTATTATTATGTTTTTATACATGTTGGAAGCCAGAGTAGCTGGGATAACCTAGTCATATGGGTAGGGTGTAAATAAAGGAGTTGTTATGGAATAGGATGTCCCCATTTTCATTGGATAAATGCTGGAGGGTATGCTAGCTCTGTACTCCCAAGCCCCTCAGGAAGAAATTGCTACCCTCATTTTATTCCATAAAATACCGTATTTTTTGCTCTACAAGACTCACTTTTCCCCTCCTAAAAAGTAAGGGGAAATGTGTGTGCATCTTATGGAGCAAGTGCAGGCTGCGCAGCTATCCCAGAAGCCAGAACAGCAAGAGGGATCGCTGCTTTCGCTGCACAGCGATCCCTCTTGTTGTTCTGGCTTCTGAGATTCAGAATATTATTTTTTTCTTGTTTTCCTCCTCCAAAAACTAGGTGCGTCTTATGGTCTGGTGCATCTTATAGAACGAAAAATACGGTACATTTGTCAAAAAGTAAAACCCTTTCCTCACTTTTTAAGAATTCTGGTTACATACCAGGTGTTTGTGTGAAGTGTGAAGTGTGAAGGAGTAACAGATAAATATGTGGCAAAGGTAGGAAGTGTGGTATGGAAATTCCTGCTTTTGTTTTATCCTATACTCTGCTCTGGATAAAGGTAAAGGTAAAGGTACCCCTGCCTGTACAGGCCAGTCTTGACAGACTCTGGGGTTGTGCGCCCATCTCATTCAAGAGGCCAGGGGCCAGCGCTGTCCGGAGACACTTCCGGATCACGTGGCCAGCGTGACATCGCTGCTCTGGTGAGCCAGAGCCGCACACGGAAACGCCGTTTACCTTCCCGCTAGTAAGCGGTCCCTATTTATCTACTTGCACCCGGGGGTGCTTTCGAACTGCTAGGTTGGCAGGCACTGGGACCGAACAACGGGAGCGCACCCCGCCGCGGGGATTCGAACCGCCGACCTTTCGATCGGCAAGCCCTAGGCGCTGAGGCTTTTACCCACAGCGCCACCCGCGTCCCTTATAAGGGACTTACCCGCGTCTGGATAAGGTGGGGCTAACTTTTATGAGTGCTGAATGAATACGCTGTCTTCTGCTTCAGTGCAGGGAATCTCTTTCTCCCCTGCTAGTTAAAGACTTCTTGCACTTTAAATAAATCAGAGTAACTGCACAGGTTTGATGTGCAAGATTTTCTGTGAAATATTTATTTGGTGGGTAGCAGAAGAGAATTAGGGGAACATGTTAAGTGGCTGGGTTTTTATACTGAAACGTCCTTTTTTTAAAAAGGTACCGTGAAGTGAGAGTGCTTGAAGTTTTAAAGATTCTGAAATATTTGATAAGGCTCTCAGGAACTTGCAACCATTATATTAATCTTTGTTATCAGTGGCACTTAGGTTCTCCTCCATTCACTCAATGAGTATCTTAAACAAACAGGTTTTGGCAGGGGACAAAACCAAAGCAAAAGCGTCAGACACATTTGGTGGTACGGAGCATGATCAATGTAACCCAGCCAAGTGAAGCACTTTAACACCCCATTGATTTCAGTGGGAAAGTTAAGTACGTACTTAAATCTCTCTCCCCCCTCCCTTTGAAATCGAAAGAGTTCATCTCTGCCTGGTTTCTGCCCAAAAAGGTTCGTTTAATTCTTTTCCTCACTGAGGTAAGAGCTGTTGATGCAATTGAACTTAACTGATGTGGCTTGTATTAAATAAACACAATCCCCTTAAAACAGAATGGCTCCATCTCATTACAAGCACTTACATTTATCACAGATTCAATACCTACTGCGTTTCCTTGCCCACATAGTCTAAATTATATCAAGCTGGTTACTGCTTCATTATCCAATAGGCACACTATGCATGGGCTTAGGGCGGAGAGACAGAGAGAGATTTTGGAAAGAATTTGACATTTGATTTTTTTTTTTTTAAAGCATCAAAGTAGATATCAAGCGAGAAGTCAGAAATTTGTTGGACTTGCTTACTAAACTTGCTTACACACTACATTTTTCTGTTCTCTGTTTATTACTTATCCCCATCTAAATTAGTGGGCATCTAGCGCATGTTGCATAGGGATGCGGGTGGCGCTGTGGGTTAAACAACAGAGCCTAGGACTTGCCGAACAGAAGGTCAGCGGTTCAAATCCCTGTGACGGGGTGAGTTCCCGTTGCTTGGTCCCTGCTCCTGCCCACCTAGCAGTTGGAAAGCACGTCAAAGTGCAAGTAGATAAATAGGTACCGCTCTGGCAGGAAGGTAAATGGCGTTTCCGTGCGCTGCTCTGGTTCGCCAGAAGTGGCTTAGTCATGCTGGTCACATGACCCAAAAGCTGTATGCCGGCTCCCTCGGCCAATAAAGCGAGATGAGCACCACAACCCCAGAGTCGGTCACAACTGGACCTAATGGTCAGGGGTCCCTTTACCTTTACCTTGAGTGCATGTTGCACATGATATACATGGATGTGCATTTCAGAATACATGTAAGTTTTGTGTCATTAAAAAAAAGTAACATTTCATACTATGACTTAGTATTGTTTTTATTTTGAATTACATTTAGGGAGGCCCCATGTTTTTAGTGCTTACAGCTTCTAAAGGTCTCAATCCAGCTCTGCAGGTGGCGAGCTAACAGTTAACTCTTGGCAATTAGGAATAAAACATATAACATAACAGAGATTGCTGCAGTAGCTTGCTCTACAGGAAGAGGGATGGATGTGCTGAGGTGGAGTAACAGTATCACTGCCATCAGAAGTGGCTCACCAAGGAGGGCATATCCACTTCACCAGTCTCCTGCCAACTGAATCACAGTTACTTACTGTGAGAGGGAGGTGCAAACAGGTAGTGAGCTCAGCATGGTGCAAAAACACTGGCGGAGCCAATCCAGTGCTCCTCATGCCCTGTTTGCACCATGCTGACCTCCTCACAATCTTACTGCTCCACTTCCCTGTAAGCTACAGAAACCCACCAGTCTGAACCTAGCCGAGCAGCTCTGCCCCACCTTGCAAACCACTTCTGACTACCATGCCAATGGGCCTTGAGGAAGAGAGAAAACATACCAAGAAGAGTTTGGATTTGATATCCCGACTTATCACTACCCGAAGGAGTCTCAAAGCGGCTAACATTCTCCTTTCCCTTCCTCCCCCACAACAAACACTCTGTGAGGTGAGTGGGGCTGAGAGACTTCAGAGAAGTGTGACTGGCACAAGGTCACCCAGCAGCTGCATGTGGAGGAGCGGGGAATCAAACCCGGTTCACCAGATTACGAGTCTACCACTATTAACCACTACACCACACTGGCTCTCAACAAGCCAGTGAACAGGTGGTGGCGGCTCTCGCTGTTCCTTGTCTCCACCTTCATCACCACAAGAGGGGCCCAGAATGGCAGGAAAAGACAACTGTTTAATAGATCAGAAATGATTAAGATCTTGGGAAATGTAGTAAGTTCTTTTAAAAAGTCATCATCATCATCAGACTTTGTGTTTGCAAAATGATGAACTTGGACATACTTGTGTTGTTACCAACTGAACTTGCAGATGATGGTTCTTTCCACTGAGTAAGCAGAGGTGGAAGGAGTGGTGGTGCTTTTTAGTTACAGGACACATGATTGGCCCAGGTGGCTAAAGAGAATAGTGAATTTCATACTATTAGGGTAGGGAAGGAGTGTCTGTTATGAAAGATATACCTGAGTGAACAACTACAACAACAAAGGAGATGACTTTCTCTTAGGAAGCCATACTGTACTGATCAAACGGAAGCTATTTGATCTGCATCTAAATGGCCAGCGCATTGCAGGAAGTAAGAAAATGCAGAATAGTTGAATAATCAATGTGACTGAAATTGACAAGCAGCAGGATTCTGTAATACACGCTGTCCTCAAGAGGAAAATGTGCATATGGCTTTCCTGAATCTCATTATAATTTATGTATTTTCAAGATATAAAAATTGATGAAATACATTTATTTAAATCCCTGGAAAGAAATAATGGGTAATACTGAAAATGAATTCCAGGAGGCAAATTTACCCCCAGGGGATAATAAAATGATTGAAGTTCAAACCATTAGAAACACGATCCTCATGAAGTGCCCCCTTTTCCTTATATAAGAGACTGGGTTCTTTTGCCTGATTAATTCTGCAGGGAAGGGGAGGAGAGTTTTCCCATCACTCTGCAGAGCCTTGGCAGCAAATTGCTGGAAGAAGTGAGCCAAGTGGCTTTGCATTAAGAATACACAGCATGTGCCATTGTGGTGTACACTGTCATGTTCGAAGTGGAGAGAGAGAGTCATGCTTTGCTTCTATACATGAGGAAGCTACAATTAACCACATAGTAAACTCAATGGCCCATACAGAAGCAAATACCCCCTCCCCACAATGCAATTTCACAATGGAGCATTCACATTAATAAAGATGAACGACATTTGTCATTTTTGTTGGGACTGGCTTGCAATCCAGCAGACCCCAGTTCAGATCAGCCCATCCCCACCGCCAAAATGCCCTGCTTTAGAGCTTTCCATGGAGTCCTGCTGGCAAAAAGATTGGTGGGCATCACAATAAACGCTGCACCAGCATCCCGTGGTGGATCAGGGGGTTGGATTGTCTCCTAAGCAAGGCAGAGTGTGAAGCTAGAGCCTTCC